CAGAAATTCTCTGACTTTTCCAGAAGGGTCCTAAATCACTGACTTTTCCAGGTTTTCCAGGTTAGTAGACACCCTGCGGCACTGTGTGCTTGGAAAACATCTCGATGTGCGTGAGTGGAAGGCCTACTGTATGGCAGAGATGAAATCGACATTACGCTTGCCATTTAGATAACGGAAACCAAGATCTTCTAAATTCAAAGAAATGCAGCTAGTAGAAGCCCTAAAGTTAGACCAGAAACCAACTATAAGGTTTTCGTATCAAATTTCGTGCCAGTCCTAGCAAGAAAAAGGTCCCTTGTGCAAGCACCTGCACAATGCCTACTGAGCACTGATCATGCCAACGAAGTGGTTCTCAGAGATGTGACGAGCCCTCTTGTAAAGCATTTCAGCAGTTTATGGGCAGAGAATGAAGAGCTTGCTTATTTTGTCAAAGTCCTCAGGGATGCTAATGAAAATGATCCTAGAGAACATTTGGATGTGAGCTGCTCATGCTGCGAAGATGCACCAGCATTTCATTGTGGGGGTGCTAATAATCCCTTTAAAATCGCGTGCGCCTCGTGGCGCACATGTTTCGCGCATAAGTCGCATTTAGGGTTCACAACTATCGAACGATATGTGCCGCAGCGCTCACACACGGTCTTCATCATCATCATTATGAATAGCGCAGTAGTGCCAGCAGTGACTCCTGGCGGCGTGGCTTGGTAGCAGTCCTGGGCGGGGGGTGCCGATCATTCGGTAAGCTGCTGTGTGCGGCGAGTCGGGCCACCTTACAAAGCTGATGTCTCCTTGCGGCTACCTCTTCTGCGCCTAGGCTTGGTACTGTGTGAATGCCGGTTGTTGTCGAGCGACTCATTCATCATAAGGCTCTGCACAGCCACCAGTCGCTAGTGGCACAACTAGGTGGATCGCGGTGTTGAAGAGTTGCACTCTACTTCCCTCATTTTTTTTTTTTTTTGTCTTGCAATGCACGATTAAAGAAAAGCGACGGTTGTTGTTGCTGGGCGTTTCGGTCCCCACTGATGTATCTGCTATTAGTACTGACCATCATACCATCGTACCATGCTGGCAAGGTGCCCAAAGTTCCCTTCCCTTTGCCCTAGAGCATTGTTCTATTGAGCCTTTTGAGTGTACGCAGCGGGAGTGATGTAACCCGTGGTTGGCTGCCTTCTGCGCATCGTCTTTGCCGTTGGCCAGGAATGCAGTCGTGAGATCGGGCAATGGACATGCCTTGGGCCTGCGCAACTGACTGTAGTCCAGCACCCTCGTGAGCCGTGGTCACAACCAGAAGATGTGTCGGCGTGAGTAATGGTTCCTCGTGCCAACGGCCATGTTGCTGTAGCGGAACTGGTGCTGGACTGAAGTCGTCGAGCCGGACCGTGCAGCAGAGACAACCGACAGTGGTGTCATGATGCACAGACATTCTTTAGGGACGTGTGTTATCACCTTTCGCTAGAGCTTATGTAGCTAATTTCTTGCATGCTTTTTTTTTTAGTGCGAAGCATTTCTTAGAAAAACTTCGGCGACTTTGAGCGTATCTATTTATCTATCTATCTAGCTGCCTACGACTTTTAGCTTTCCTGGCCGTTTGGATAATAGTATCGATACCAAACTTTGTATGGCATGACATTGACTTGATTGATATGTGGGGTTTAACGTCCCAAAACCACTATATGATTATGAGAGACGCCGTAGTGGAGCGCTCCGGAAATTTTGACCACCTGGGGTTCTTTAACGTGCACCCAAATCTGAGCACACGGGCCTATGTATGGCATAACATGACTGTATGATGGGCATATTTGACTAGTCATAACATGAAAATCATGACATGTCATGAATGTCATGAATTACATTTCATGGTCTTACTGCTCTTGCGGTCGTCTCGTTCACATGACATGTTGCAAAACTGGTACGGTATGACATGATTGCATGGAGAACACAAGCGACAGACCCTAACGTGGAAATCGTGACATGCATGTCACGAGTCATGACTACACGCCACGCTCATGATGCGCTCGCAGCCATCTCGCTAGCCTCACATATACGAAATTCGACGTTACGTAATGCCAATGGATGAAGAAGGTATGCGACTGGTGCAAACATGATAATCATGACATTATAACTACAAGCCGCACTCATGATGACCTCACAGCCGTTTCGCTAGCTTCACATACAACAAATTTGGTATTACGGGACGTGAATGAATGACAAAGGGATGTGACTGGTGCAAACATGATAATCATGTGATGCATGTCATGTAACAACATGACTACATGTTACGCTCATGATGCGGTCATGGCCGTCTCGCTAGCTTCAGATGTACCGAATTCAGTATTACGTGACGCGAACAGACGTCACATGTAAAGGACATGTCCAAACATGATAATCATGGCATGCGTATCATAGCAGAACATGACTACATGATGCGCTCATGATGCGCTCGGGGCCGTTTCGCTTGATTCATATATGCCAAATTTAGTATTACGTCACGTGAATGGATGACGAAGGTATGTGACTCGTGCAAACATAATAATTATGGGATGTGTGTCATGCAAGAACATGACTACATGTCACACGCCACACGCAAGGCGACGTGACCCGGTGTGCGTGTGCTCCAGCGTTCGTTTCGTCGCGTCATGCCGGCGATGCCACGCCATGCGCCGATCTGCCTGGCATATACACGCAGGCACGCGCCGCACTGCATTGCTTTGATGCATGCGCGTTTGAGCACGACCGGCGTCCCTTCGTCACGAAGCTAGGCAGACGCGGTGCATTCTGGGTAACATGGTTGGTGTGAAATTCAGCATGTCGCATTTCACACTGGTTGCCGCCGGGCTGCGCCGACAGACGCTGGTCGCGTTTGGCGTCAGACTATAAAATGTTCGCGTTTTGCTAGCGTAGCGTCACTGCGCCCAGCGTGCGCTTGTCAACATTACGCCGCAGTATATTGGGCTCTACATAAAGCTCTCCCCACCGTTTCGCTAGCTTCACATATTCCAAGTTTGGTATTACGGGACGTGAATGGACGACGAAGGTATGTGACTGGTGCTAACATGGTAATCATGAGATGCGTGTCATGTAACAACGTGACCACATTCCACGCTCATGATGCGCTCGCCGTTGTTTCTCTAGCTTCACATATACCAAATTGGTATTGCACGGCGTCAATAGACAGTGAAGTTAAATAAATGACACGTCCGAACATGATAATGATATGCGTGTCATGTAAAACATGACTACATGCTACGCTCATAGCACCACATATACCAAATTTGGTATCAGGTGGTGTGAATAGATGATGAAGGCAAGTGACACGTCCAAACATAATAATTATGACATGGAAGTTATGTATGGCATAATTTACCTCCGCATCGTAAAGTTGTTCTGGTTTTAAACTGACATATCAACCTTCCTCATTCGTGCTTCGCATATCATCGAGTCCCACTGTACGTGGGATCGGCCAATTTCTTTCTTCCGGGATATAATTTCAATTCAGGTTGGGAGGATGTGGGGGTGCTAACAGCCCCTGTAATGACAGTGCATTGGTGCACGAGTTTCGCGCATAGGCCGCATTTAGGGTTTACAACCATCGTGCGGTAGGTGGCACAGCACTCACACGCGATCTTCATCGTCATTATGGTTAGCACGGAAGCGCCAGCAGTGATGCGTGGCGGCATGACTGCGTGGCGGTCTTCTTTGGCGATGAGCGGTCCTCTTTGGCGCGAAGTAGTCTCCCGCGGTCGCTGGGTAGGTAGATGGCACCGCGAGCCGTCTGCAGTGAGCCCTCTTGGCGAGTTGAGCATTGGCAACGCCGTCTTCACGCTACCTTGTGTTTGTTGTTATGTTGACAGAGCATTGGAATATTGAGTAAGGTTGTTTAACATGTTGATGAGTAGTGATGTATTCATTCTGCTGGCAATATTATCGATCTAAATAAATAAATGTGTTCCTTGGTTTGGTCTGAACGAGTCTTCTGTGTCGGTTCGTTCCGAGAGCGTGCCTCACTTCAAGACTCCACATCGTATATAGTCGAAGGCTCTTAATTGAAGCACTGTTGTCTATGTTTGATTTTCTGCCAAAGCTCGATCATACCACCCTTGAATGTCAATCTCAATCAATTTTTTGTAAGAATATTGCAATGAATTCAATGTGTCATTTCAATATGAACCAAATGTAAAGTTATACTATTATTGGTCAAGTCCACTGCATATTTTTTAATTGTGGCCGTAAGGTTTTACCAGCTGACAGGTAAAACATATGTAATAGATTTGACAGCGTAGTGTTCACTTTCCGTAACAAATTTTCACTGATTTCACAAATTCTGTTTCAATGGATTTGACTCTTTTCAAAAAAAAAATTCTTCACTTGGTTCTAACATTTAGTACCCTACATGAGACTGCGCCAGATTTTTCATGCTGAAAGCTACGTTCCTCATGAACCCTTGACAGTTGGCATTAAAGGCGGCACACATTTCATGACTTGCTTGCCCAGAGTTTTTCCGTATGTCGCGAATTCACGGCATTCTTCTACTCGTAGTAATGTCCCGCTCAGCCCGAAGAGGTCCCTGATGAGGATCATGGTAAGTGTTAGATTAGTATTCCAGCACTCACATTACCTGTCCCTTCCAGAGAACTACTCAGAAGGTTGTGGGTTCACATCCCACAAGCACAAAGTTAGTCTTAAGTCTCCTTTGAGTTACCATTATCTTGTTACTACCATAATTCAACTGCATGCCTCAAATAATGTGCCCTAATATGCCTTCTTTAGCCCAATCATATGCTCGTTTCATAAGGTTGTGCCTAATGCAGTTCAGCCTGTTGATATGCATTTAAATTCAGTTTATTTCCACCATCAAAACAAAACCTGATAGCTGAGGAGCCCGCAGCAAAAACTATCTATAGATGGCATGCTCATAGACGATGCTTCACAACAACACAGCTTTGTGCAATATCCCACACTGACCCAAACAAGAAAGAATCAAGGAAAGGAAATGTGCAACTTACTCTAATATTGAGTTGATGTTCGGCTCCACCGAGAGACTCTGCAAAAAAGAGAAAAAAAAACACATCATTGAAAAATGCTAGCCTCTGTTATCACTGTGCACTGACAGTGTTACGGGGGAAAGAACTTAATTTTTATTTTTATATGAGAGGATTATTTCTACCCTGACCACCTGTAAAAAATAATGAACCTTTCAGCAGATATTCATACCCTGTACTTGGTTTCCATCACAAGACTGTCCCAAATTATGAACAAGGCAACAAGAAAGATTCAAACAGCAATTGTAAAATTATTAAACTACTATTTGTCCATGTCCTGCAACAACTTCCTACTTTGTAGAGTTCAAAACCTATACTCTGCTTTAGAAGTCCCCTTCAGCACTGTGAAGGCTACAGGGCCCCTCAGCCAATAGGAAGGGCCCCTCAGCCAATAGGAATAGGATGAGCTGGGTCGTCTGCTCACCACCTTTGTGCACGGCGTCAGCTCACTGAATTGCGTATACCCACCCATGGCAGTTAATATGGCTGGTTTGTTAACTTCAAGATACAGTAAAACCATGAAGCAAGCAACTACACCGGGTCTCTGACTTCGCCTATTTCGAAAAATTTGATAACTTGGAGATGTAACACTGCAGAAACTTCTTCGATGCCATTTGTGTGGTACACACACGTGTCAGATCGGTGGCTGGGGGGTAAATAATAACAGGTGCAGCTGTTTGAATTTAGAAAAAACTGTACTTGAATCGAAACATCGACCCATTATAGGGGGATCATACATGGTAGCCATTTCTCTCCTACGCTGTTCGTGGCTCTCGTATGAATGCTTCTTCTTCGATGTATTCCTTTGCGTCTCCCACTGCAATGCTCTTTTTCTCTCTTTTTTTTTTATTTCCACCGAAAGAAGATTCAACATGTGCAGAACGCAGTGCAAGGCTGCATGTCCAATATCTGAAAATTCAGCCGAGCACGGCTCAGCGCGTTAGGCTTAGCGGATGCGGCTAAGCATGCAGCATATCTTACTAATAATGAGAAAGCACACCTTATGCTTTATCCTCAAGGGAAGATGAAATAAATAGATGGCTGATTTCACCACTTAGTTATTGCTGTCAGCGCAGTGAGTGTGTAGCAAGAGCAAGCTCGGATCAAAGTGGGCGTTCCATTCTTCATGGGTGCTGCCATGTTTATTTGTAACCACACTCACTGGCAATAACTGACACAAAAAATTAAATGCATATGAAATGGATTCGAAGAAGAATGAGCATATCGCGCATCAATGTGGCGTAACACACACCAAACCAACGCCAATTTTAGCCAACCCTGTCAATTTTAAGGCACCTATATCTGGGACTAAGTTTTGCTGCGCCAGGGTGTGGCTTTTTTATACCTCATAGCTTTGATAGTGCTGAACCACAATGGTGAAACAGAGTATAAGCAAGGTATCGTGTAATATAAGCTTAGTAGATAATCAAAGATTGGCAAATTTTAAAAGAAAAAGACATCTATCTTCATATTGTCGCGGGTAAATAAGACACAGAGCCAGGAGTCATCTACTCCACAACCAGAGCACACGGTTCATACCGGTTTCCAAAGCGAAAATTCAAGAATATTCAAGGACTTTCCAAGATGTGTCACAGGTTGTTTAAGGGCTAAAAGTGGCACGCAATGTTGAAATATTTTTACTCTAAATTTTTTTACTCATTTTTATTGCACTTATACAGTACACGCATATCGCAATTATAACAAACATGTCTAGTCTGCACTTTAGCTCACTTTAACTTGACTAGCTTCACCGTTCGCACAATAGGGAAGGAGCCAGCACCGAAGAGCATTATAAGTCTCTCACTTTGTTTTTTCGTGATTTCACGCAGTAAAACTATCACCCAAGCAGTTTTGGAAAGTGAAACCATACTAACTGATGCAAAATTACTGTTTCTAAAATAGGGAGTTGCTGATCCACAACCAGCCAAGTTCAAGAATTCCGAGTCTGGGAAATTTCCGCAACGGAAAGGGGAGGAGTGGTGTCGCGCAGATTTATTTTCCCCTTTCCTTTTTGTACCAAAAAAAACACACAAAAGAAACACAACAAAGGGTGGTCAATAAACATCGGCGTAGCGCGGTCTCATACCAGCTTGGTGTGGCTGAACACCCAAGGGTAGGGTTTCTCAACAACAGTAAAAGGTGAGAGTCTCAAAGGGGGTGCACATACTTGTATCTAAAAATTTTGCATCATCAAAACAACTAGCCAAATCTATTTCTGTCAAAAGAACTCGCGTATGCCTTCCTGGGACACACATGAATGAACGGGACAGCAGAGCTGGCTGCCAGGAAGGCGCGGGTCCTAGCTTCGCTTAAGGACAACTGAAAACTTAATTCGAAAGTATAGCCAATGTACCCAGATCAACAGGAACGATACTAGATTCTTTGGACAGGTACACCAAAACGCTTTAAGCGTTTTTTTACATCTTCAACTCTACCGCTGCATTATCCGCATGCCCTTGGCTTATGAACGCGTCGCCGCAACTGCGGTTTCGCACGCTGCGGTTTGGAAAAACGGTAGTTCCATTGTCAATTCACGTGCCCTCGCTGTGCATGTACCTTCAAAACTGTCGTTTTTTTCGTGGAAAGCAACGCTTTTTCGTGGAAAGCATTCGTGGAAAGCAACGTCACTTAACCGGTCCAGCACTGAACGCATGCGCACTTTCAGAGTTCTGTCAGTAACGTTCTCGCCACACTTGATTGTGTCAAGAGCGACCACGGTTCCGTCCACAGCAGTTGTGGCAAACGATAACTGCAGTTGTGACAGTGCGTGCACTGGCCGCGCGCATCCTTCCGAGGCTTCGAGCACGCTGCTCTCGGCTTTTGTTCCACGGTTTCTGACTAAAATTCATACATATTGACCTGATGAGGAAAGGAGCTTGGAACATCCGAATTTTCGCCCAATGAATGTTTAGATGAACGCCTCCTAAATTCTTTTACAATAAAATGCAGATTGTACTGCATTTAACTCGTCAATGCAACCAGATCAGGCACAGAAATTTCGATTTCTGGGATTTTCTTGACAACCGTAAAAACGCAAGAACTGGTAGAAAATCAGGGAGACTTCGCAGGTATGCTGATCTACCCCATAGAGGAGGCCACAATGTCCATTGGGTGTGCCCAGAAAATTGAAGGATTTTCAAGGACGAGAAAAAATTCCAGGACTTTCAAGGGCCTTGAAAATGCATTTGTCAAATTCAAAGGTTTTCAAAGACCTGTACGCACCCTGAGAGCAGCAAAACGTTCATCTAAAATGAGTATGTGCCACAGATGGTGGTTCATAAATATGTGTCATCAACCTCTCTCCCACAAAGGCATTGTTTCAATGCAGCGCATTACAATGAAAAAAAAAAAAGGTACTATACAATTTTAAGGCATGTGTCGTACACAAAATAATTCAGTTGGCTGCTATATGCAAGGTATCAAAAATAAAAAGAAGTAGAAAACAACAGAATGAAAAAGAGAAAGTAATAAAACGCTCTAGGTTGTTGGGAAGAAGCATGGCGTCAAGCATTGTAGCTACTTCTCACACGTGCACAAGGCGAAATGGCGTGAAACCTGTACTTTCTTGAACTGCGGTATTGTAAGCAAATGTGCCGCAAGGAAGCATATTGTCCCAGTTATTGTGGTCAATGGTTACTACATTGAAAGCATGTCTGTAATAGCATTGTTTAATCGTTCAGTGAGTCGATTTGTATGGGGGATGATATGCCGTTGTTTTGCAATGTTCCTTGTAAGTTAGCTGGAAGACTTCCTGCAACATCTCTGCAGTGAAAACTGTCCACGATCAGTAATGACGACATTTAGAGCACCGTGACGGAGGACAATGCTGTTGAGAAAATGAACGACGTCCGCTGCGGTGGCTTTTGATAGAGCCTTTGTTTTGCAGCATCTTGTTAAGTAATCTATAGTGACCACAATCCATCGATTTCTAGACGAGGACATGGGGAATTATCCCATCAAGTCCATCATGCCGACCTGATGAAATACCATCGGTGTCTCTATATTGGGCGTAGCAGTCCTGTGATCGTACAGATAGAGTCTTACGTCGTTGGCAGTTGTCACATATGCAAATGTGGTGTTTCACTATTTTCTTGAGTCTTGGCCAATACTAGGAACAGCGAATTCGTTCCAACGTGCGAGTGTAGCCACAGTGTCTAGAGAATGGTTCATTGTGACAAGCATGTAAAATTTCATCATGAAGAGTGGTTAGCACAAGTAGTAGGTATGTAGCTTGCGTATTGTCAAAGTTGTTCTTGTAAAGGACTCCATCCCGGAAACAAAAGGCAAGTGAGCGGGTAAAATTACGAGGACAGTAGGAAGTGCGCCCATGGAAATATTCAGTGAGCACACTGAGCTTCAAATCAACACACTGTTCTTGAGACAGCTAGTTGTTAACATGACAGAAAAAAAAAAAAAAAAGAATCGTCCTCTTCATGGTCAGTATTGGTATTTCCGACTAGTGTAGTGCAGGTGAAGGACAGTCAGCGTATGTGTGCTTTTATCCAGATTTGTCTACGATGGTGACATCGAATTCTTTAGCCGAAGGCTTCGTCGTGCTTGACGCCCCTAATGAATCTTCGGGATTCGCAAGCCAGCACAGTGAATGGTGGTCGATAACCACCCGGAATGGGCGCACGTATATGTAGGGTCGAAAGTTCGTTATTTCATAATACTGTCAGCCCTTTCTTGCGGGCTCCTGCAGGAAGGGTACAACCAAATACAAACCAGCCAATATACGACTGCAATATACAATACAATATGCAGACAATGGCTAAGCATTATTTTTCTGTTGCCGAATAGTTTTTCTCAGCGCATGACATTCTTTTTGCATATGAAATCACGCACTCTATGCCATTATGCCATTGAACCAATTTAGCACCTAGTCTGACGTTGCTGGCGTCTGTGTGTAAATTTGTGTCAGTGTTTTCATCAAAGCGACCCAGTATGAAAGGGGCCGGCAGATGGTTGCGGAGAGTGTCAAAGGCACGGTGCTGATCTTGGC